TATGGGGTGATAATATTTCTAGATGTTATCCGAGATGCATTCCTTTAAAACAACTTGTTGCTTCAGGCAGATTTCTCTAACCAATTAGCTATGATGGGTATGAATGGAATGATGCCAGGTGGTATGCTAGTGAGTTCTTCCTTGATTTTTCCCCATGCTTTCTCTGAAGCGAATAGCTCAAACGAAGATATCTAAGTGATCCTCACGCTGAAGTTTTTCTGAGGTGACAGCAACCCGATGATGGCGTGAAATTTCAGGGCGAAGTACATCACTTTGGACCTGGTGGTCTTCAGTTGAACCAACGAACAGAAACGTATTCTGATGCTTTTCGAGTACAAGCTGGGAACGGCGGCTGAGGTCGCCACCCAGAACATCAATCAAGCTTTCGGTGCGGGAGTCGTCCCACTAACACAAGTCCAAGCGGCTTACCGCCAATTCAGCAATGGAATGGAGTCTTGGGTTAATCGAAAAGGAAAATAACCATGAGAAGTCGATCGCGAAGCAATCATGAACAAAATCGAGCTTGACTTCAACGGACCGTGAAATCTTCTGATGCTTTATTGCTAGTCCTGTTATATAGATGCGAAAGGAAAACCTTTCAATTGTTTTTCTGCCTGTTGTTAAATTTGCCTTTCAATGTAGATGAATTTATGAAAATTATTGTTTTTTTCATTAAGGCGGAGGGGATGTAGTATACTCCTTATCCCTGAGCCAGAGTAGGCGTGGCATTTGAACATGGCACGGAATTGGTTACTCGTGGAATATTCCAGTCTGGGACAACTGTCATCTTGTTCTGTGTTGGACAGAGACACGACAACAGTTGTGTCAAGATGGAAATATTCCACCAGAAGCATAGACACCTTCAGGTTAAGTTGAAGAATGCAGCCCCGCCTACCCGATCTCAGGGATCTCGAATATAGTAAGTATCGCGCTTACCACGCGCACTGTCCGGAGGTCAAATCCCGGATCGGCTCCAGCCCAGGCCAACCAAGCCTACAATCAGGGAACAGCCAAAATACATTGCTCCGGAGACCTTAATTTGTACATTGACATTTGAAGCGTTGGGTGTAATATAGCTGAATAAATAAACAAATAAGTTAATGGTTCTCAAAGCAGTCCTAAGAGCCCCTCATCAGCCGAAAAAAAACGCGGAAAGTCAACAGCCGAGAGCTGTTCTTCACAAAGGCGATTACAACAGCCCGAGCAGTTATTCTTCACAAAAGGCGATTAAGAACACTCCCCCCCCGCCATCGACGCCGACTAACGACCCCGGGACGCGGGACTTAAGCGTCGCGACGTTCCGCCAAATACCACGGCCTCCACAAAGTGCTCTATCTGCTCGAGATTGATTAACTATAAAATTGAGATAAGCCTGATGACAGAAGTTAGTTAAGTACGTCGCGATATTCTCCACATAACACACACCACAGGGCCATCACACAACCCACCAGCCCACACACACACAACACACAGAATTGGCGGCACGCACCAGCACACACACACACCAACACACACAGCGCACAGCACACCACGAAACACACACACACAACACACACAGAGGTATCGCCGGCGTTACATGAAATTAAAATCGTAGTTCCCTAAAGTCTGGTAGATGAGTCCGCGCGACATCGCGATCGCCGCGCGCGCAAACAGTGGATGGAACATTGTAGGTTGGAAACCATTTGTAATTTTCAGAAGAGTTGGATTAGAAAAAAAACATCTCCGGAAGACATGACCGTCGAAGGAAAAAGCAAAAGGTGGGCGATCGAGGAAATGATGACAGACTAGATCAGAAAAGATTGTAGCCAAGAATATGAAGAAATTTCTCCGCCTGTCAGAATCTCTCTCAAAAGAAACCTCAAAGGAGCACTTCAAAGTAGTAACGGTTGAAAAAAATTGTTCTATTACAACAGAGGGATATGGAAATCAATAACAGGTTTTTGTTTTGCGTTCTTCTTGCGTGATGTCGGAAAGTAACCAGGGCACATCAGTGGTTGGGGATTTTGGTCGAGTCCTTGCGCTCCCCGCCCATCCAAGATGCGCTCGACACCCCCCCCCCCCCCTCCTTGGTTCCCCCTCATCGAGCTGTCGAGCGGGGGGGGGGGAGGGGAGAAGAAATAGCACTTCTGAAACGGGAAAGGGAAATACGCTTTCCTCCCTTCCCCATGCTACACTTTTCAAATTTTCCCAACTTCCCTA